GTTAACACCGAGTCCCTGAGGAGACGACCCTACTTATCGCTATTACAAGTGTGTTTTAGAGATAATAGGCTTATTTTCATAAATTTTAATATTTGCCGGACTCGACACCCGTCATACACTCACAGGTTTTTTTCCCTCAATTTCCCAAATTTGACTGTTATATCTTACATAAATGACCAAAAAATCCTATGACCGTTTTTGGTATGGGATTTTCACTTCTTCCGTCACTGATTTTCTTTGGACTTCTTTTTCGCTGCTCAAATCCTTCATCTTCAATCAAAACATACGTATCACACCAAAACCGTTGATTGTAAATACTAAACTATTAATCACGAGTATTTGTAGGAGAGGGGATCGAACAAATCCTGATTTTCAGAGTTCAAATATGATTTATCATTAGTAAACTTTAGTAGAATAATTTCATATTGTGTTGAATCAAACTTGTTTCCACTTTACATTTTGATTTTTGGACAATACACCTTCTTGTAATTGACAGATTAGAGTGTGACTAAAGGGTCGTTTACCAAATTTTTATCTCATAAGTGCTTATCGAGAGTCACTTACCTTTACCGGGCGAGCATATTAATGACTAAGAATCTTCCTAACATAAATCATATCCTGTATTTTATTCTACGTGTATAGCCCTTATTTTTCAAAAACTTACTTAACACATAGATGTAAATGATAAAATTGGATAAAGTAACGTGTACTTACTTGTCCACATTATTTAGGGATATGATCCTAAATGAGTTTTTAATTAAATTCATCACCTCCTGACATATATAAGAAAAAAAAATAAGTTTATACTCCTGAGAAGGTTATAAATTTAACTATAATCTCATTTAAGTTTATATGCCTAAAGATTTATGTCCAACAATATGCAAAACAGAAATTTGCACATTGTGGACATCTAGAAGGCCATCTTTTATTTCCCACATGTTCCGATGCAACATAAACTTTTTACAAGATGATGCAACACAATTCTTGACTTGGTTTTGATTTTTCTTTGGTGAATACAAATCCTGTATTTTTTTGTATGGACGGATACCAGCCTTCTTAATTTTGCAAATGTTTTTACATTTGCCTTCTTTTTTTGTATATTACGTATTCGGTTTGTCATATTCTAATCCAATGTTTTTACACATTCGTTTATTGAAAATGGTCACTTTGTCATTATTTTGGAATAAAGATTGCAAAGTTATCATTGAGACTATGCGACCCCAACCCGACAGCCATCATCGCCCTCCAAGTTGTTTGCGTCCTCATAGACAAGTTCCTGTAGGTATTGTATGTACAAACTCTTAGTGTAAATATTATAATAAAATTGGCTTTATAGGACGTCTAAATTATCTAATGTTCTAATATACTACTTTATAGTACCAAACTATAAAGTGTATCTACAAGCGTTGTAATAGGTTTATACGACGCTTTAAGGCGTTTTAACAAGTTTTTTAAATAACTTTCAAAATAAAATGTTTTATTAAATATTTTATATGACACTTTTGAAAAATGACTTATAAACTCATCTTTTTATATGACATTTGTGTTCATCGAAAACTTTCAAATAATATCGTATAAAATAGTTAATATAACTTTATTAAAAACCTTGTTAAAACACAAAAAAACACGTTATAAACCTATTGTAACACTTTTAGATATGACATTTTTTGTTTTGCTCCTATAAACTTAAGTCATATATAACATTTCTTTAGAACACTTTTTACGGTTTAAATGTCCTGTAAAATTAATTTAGTTGTAATGAGAACATTGTCAAAGGTCACCACCGAAACTAACCTGAACATATACAGTTAAAAAGTTATCACTTGAGAACACGATTGAAACTAATACAAGGGAAGTAAATGAGAGGGAAAAAAATTAAAATACTTTTGAGAGAAAAAAGAGATTTAGGAGTCGTTTCTAAACGTTTATTCGAGTAAGTGTACATCAAGTCATATTACCTTACCGGATGAATATGGTAAGGAACAAAAATCTTACCTGATAAGAGCGAGACAAAGACCAAAAGTCTTATCCTGTAAGTGAGAGCGATGACTTTTATCATGGTAAATGCTTAGTGGGTAAATTGTTACATACAATATCGTTTTAGTAGACTAAAATCTTATCTTGTAAGTAAATGATAAAATTAAATTTTATTCAAAAATACTTACCAGATAAGTGTTTGGTAAACGAGCCGAGGTCAAATTTCTTTTTCTTTTCTTCTGTTTTAATATAAATTAAAACTGTTGTATAATAGCACGTGATTGTTGAAAAGGTCCAAAAATAATGGGTTGGTTTTGAGTCAAAATTTTTGACCATCGACCATTGACACTGAACAGTAATGTTCGTTGTTCGTTGACTCTAAAAAAAAACAAATATCTCAATTATATTATATATCATCATTTTCTTTTAATTTAATACAATTAAATATTCTGTTAATAAAATTACATATATTTATTTGATAAAATTAGTTAATTGTTTGGTTCTATGGAAAATATAATCCTCTAGTCTCTAATAAAGAAAATAAATTCTCTTATATAAGGATACTCAATGACTTGTACTTGAACGATGTTAGTAATAAAAATCGGTTTCACAAAAACTAAAACTATATAATGATCAAAACATTAAAAAAAGTAGTTGTATTAAAAATATTTTAATCATTTTATTACAAAAATAAAATAATATAATTTTTTTATTTATTAACATTTATTAAATCAAAATGACTAAAATACCAAAAGAGAAACCAAAAAATATATTAAATAAACTAAAAAAGAAAAATAATTAAAAAGACTAAAATACCCCTAAGGTAATGCAGGAGTTTTAAAATATTTAGTCTCGGTGACGAAAACAATAATAAATTACAAATCATAGAGATAAAAATTGAAATTTTAAAACCACATAGACGGAAATCGCATTCTTTCTCAAACTATAAGGACGAAAATTAATTATATCATAAAAAAAAATCAATACATTTAATATATTGATAACGAAAAGTAATTGATATATTTTCTCCCCATCCAAAAGCTCTACAAACATTTTCCCATTTTTTTTTTCCATATTTTCATGAATATTTTTGGGTTTTTGTTGTAGAAAAAAAAGTTACAAACTCGAAAATCTTCATTTTATTTTGTTTCAAAATAGTTAAAAATCCTACAAGAATATTAGAGTAAATTATGAATTTGATCCTTATGGTATCTTCGAAACCCGTTGTACCTAAACTCGAAAAATTATAGATATAGTCCATATGGTTGTCAATTCCTTATGGCTAGGGTCCTTCACATTAACCGAAACCGTTAACCTAGTTATATCTGGAGTAAATAGGGACCATACACATCGTCACCTTTCTCCGATGGAGCCATCCCGCCTCTTCCTTTGTCCCCCCCTCCCCCCACTCCCTTTCCACCTCCATCAGTGATCACCACTCCCCTCCTCACTGTAACCCCATTTCAAGTTTTTTTTTTCCTTTGAATTTTTACGCAGTCAAACAAAACTTATTTGGAAACAAAACTTATTTGGAAACAAACCATTTGTTTAAGCTTATGAGACCGTAATAGAAGATAATGAGATAGCAGGTGAATATGACGTGATGATTGTTGCAAGTGATGGTGAAAGGGAGTAGGGAGGAAGGTTGTGAGTTAAGGCTCCAATGAAGACGAGAAGAGTTATGGATCATATTCATAATTTTACAAGTTAAGAGACATTAGTCATAATTTTCAACATACCATACGGACAAAATCCATAAGTCACTCAAAATTTTTTATCCAAGTTCAATAGTTTGGAGATTATATGAGTAATTATAGAGTAAAGTTGGGTTTTGGTCTAAAAAGTATGCACTTTTTAAAGGATATCATTCCTAAACTCTATAAACTTGGTTTTGGTCCCTCAAGTTTCTTAATTTTCATCCATTCATTAAACCTTTTTTTTGTTTGACATTAGAGTCTCATATTAATTAGAAGAGTTTACTTTGTTGTTGACTTTTCACTAAGGGCGTGTTTGGTTTGCAGGATTTGGAGGGATTTGGATTTGAAATCCATTCCAATCCTGCGTTTGGTTTGTAGAAATGGTCGGATTTAAAATCCCGGGATTCATTTAAAATCCCACCAACACTGGATTTGAGAATCCTTTGAAAATACACGGGATTTGAAATCTATTCCCGTGGGATATCATTCTTGCCCGAATTCATCGCTGTCTCCTTCATTCTTGCCCTTCATCACAGATTACATCGCCGTCTCCTCCGTCTCCGTTGCCACCGTCGTCGCCCTTCGTCTCCTTTGCCACCGTCGCCGTCACCCTTCGTCTCCGTTGCCACCGTCGCCGTCGCCCTTCGTCTATGTTGCCACCGTCGTCGCCCTTCGTCTCTGTTGCTCATCGTCGTCGTCGCCCTTCATCTCTGTTGCCACCGCCGTCGCCCTTCGTCTCTGTTGCCACCGCCGTCGCCCTTCGTCTCCGTCGCCTATCGTCAACAGGTAAATCATTTTCCCCTTTTGGATTTCTCTCTAAACTATGAACACATATTAGGTTAAATCCTTCAATTTTGACAGATTAGGTTGAATATACATGAACACAGATTAGGTTAAATCCTTCAATTTTGACAGATTAGGTTGAATATACATGAACACAGATTAGGTTAAATCCTTCAATTTTGATAGATTAGGTTGAATATACATGAACACAGATTAGGTTAAAAAATTATAAGAATTATTAGAAACCAAATCCTACAAAACCAAACAGAGGAATAAATTTCAAATCCAATCCAATCCAAATCCCTCCTGGAAATCCAAATCCCTCAAAAACATTCATGCAAACCAAACCCACCCTAAGAGATGGGAAGGGAATACGTTATGTCATCATATGTTTGTAGAACTTTGATGTTCATTTCTTTTTGTAATTACATGGAGAATATTTGACATGTGAGACCAATTGTTTTTCGTGAGACCCGTAAGACCAATTCTCAACCCTTGGATTATAACTACAATCGTCAGATCTGAATATTCATAAATGCCACGAGACTTCTTAATAATTACAAAATTGTCACCGTACAACTTTAAACCATTAGATCATATGCTTATAAAGTTGATCAATGAACATAAATTGGTCTTACGGGTCTCACGAAAAACCCTTGGTCTCACGTGAACTTGGGATCATGTGAGACCAGCCTGTTTTCGTGAGACCCGTGAGACCAACTTTTTACACTTGAAACTTCACAGCAAAATGCTGTGAAGGTGACTTTTTTAAACCTTCACAGTGTTTTTGCTGTGAAGGTTCGACTTTTTTTAAACATTCACAGTGTTTTTGCTGTGAAGTTTACGTGTAAAAATGTAGTCTCACGGGTCTCACGAAAACAGGCTGGTCTCATGTGAACCCAACCCTATATATATATATATATATATATATATATATATATATATATAGGGATGTTATTCTACACCCTTTATCATTCCTACACCCTATACAACCCTCATCTCAACCATTCAATTTTTAATCAATTAATTGTTTCCTAATATAAACTCTATTCATATTCCATAAATATTCAAATCATAATAAATGAACTCCAATCATTTCTATAAATATCTCAATTAATTGGGTTGCAAAGGTTGTACAAATGCACAAGGTTGTAAAAGAAATATACCCTATATATATATATATATATATATATATATATATATATATGGGTGGGTTCAAATAAAAACCACTCAATTTGTAAAAACCGTGAAAACCTTATTCAACCAATCATAATTTTTCATTTTGTTCATTTTTTTATAATTATGAGAGATTGATTAACCATTTTTATTGTGGAGGGTGTTAATCATGGATATTATCATCTT